TGATTGAACGCGATGCTATACGATATATATATATATATATATAATATATTTATGACACAAGAGAGAAAGAGAGAGAGAGAGAGAGAGAGAAGGTTACTTCGAAGAACAAAGACGAGGCTAGGATTGATAACCGACCGGCCGAGCATCACCGTACGATATTCGTACGATGCTTTCCCTGATCGAGCAAGGATGCCTAGTTGAATAAAAGTTTCTCCAAGAATTGTTAAAAAAAAAAAGGCCACGGTGCGTGATTGAACGTGATGCTACATGATATATATATAAATATATGACACGAGAGAAAGAGAGAGAGAGAGAGAGAGAGTGTCATCGGAGGCCGAGGAGAAGAAGAAGAAAGCGGTAATTACCGGCCGGCATAAAATACGCATGGAGAAAGGTGCGTGGAACGGGCGAAGGGAGCGTGGAACGCGGCGTGTAACGCGGCGTGTAACTCGGCATTCGGAGAGGCGAGCTCGCGGAACAATGGCCCCCATCGGCATCGATTATCTTAATTATCTTCTCACGCCACCACCGCGGCTGTAAATCGCGAGCCCGGCCGGACACCTGCTCGAGTCGATGGCGGTGGCGCTGGTGGCAGTGGTGGTGGTGGTGGTGGTGGTGGTAGCGGCAACGCGGGCTCGCGATGCGCGCATCATCGGGCATTATTTCCTCGTCACGGATCGAGGAGAGAGATCGCGACCCTTTATTCCACGACCCGTATATTCGATATTTATCTCTGCCATTGTTTAAATTACCATTGGTACGGGGGGGTCAATTGGATTCGATCGTCGAGAAAACGTCATCGTTCCATTGTCCCGGCCGAATGGGAACAGGCTGTCGCTGCTTCCACTCCGATCGATTAAATTTCGATGCATGGACGGATGGATAGATGACGCATCCGTCGACGCATTCGTACATCCGCGCATGCGCCGACACTTTTTTTCCCATTTTCCATTCGGAATCGTTCGAAACGAATTTCTCTTCTTCCTTCCGCTCTACGTGGAAGGAGCGGATAAATTAAGGAGTTTCGATGTGTGGATCGCGATGACGCATCCGTCGATTCGCATCCGCGCGTAATTTTTCATTTTCATTTTTTTTTTTTGGAATCGTTCGAAACGAATTTCTCTTCTTCCTTCCGCTCTACGTGGACGAGATCCGTGCGAATAAATTAAGGGATGGAAGAGTTTCGATGTGTGGATCGCGATGACGCATCCGTCGATTCGCATCCGCGCGTAATTTTTCATTTTCATTTTTTTTTTTTGGAATCGTTCGAAACGAATTTCTCTTCTTCCTTCCGCTCTACGTGGACGAGATCCGTGCGAATAAATTAAGGGATGGAAGAGTTTCGATGTGTGGATCGCGATGACGCATTCGTCGATTCGTATCGCGCGTAATTTTTCATTTTCCATTGGAATCGTTCGAAACGAATTTCTTTTCTCTCTTCCGCTTTACATGGATCAGATCCGTGAAATTTGAGCGGATAAATTAAGGAGTTTCGATGTGTGGATCGCGATGACGCATCCGTCGATTCGCTTCCGCGCGTAATTTTTCATTTTCATTTTTTTTTTTTTGGAATAGTTCGAAACGAATTTCTCTTCTTCCTTCCGCTCTACGTGGACGAGATCCGTGCGAATAAATTAAGGGATGGAAGAGTTTCGATGTGTGGATCGCGATGACGCATCCGTCGATTCGCTTCCGCGCGTAATTTTTCATTTTCATTTTTTTTTTTTTGGAATAGTTCGAAACGAATTTCTCTTCTTCCTTCCGCTCTACGTGGACGAGATCCGTGCGAATAAATTAAGGGACGGAAGAGTTTTGGATCGCGATGACGCATCCGTCGATTCGTATATCCGCAATTTCCAATCGTTAAATCGTGTAATAAGAATCGTCGAAATTCGTTTCAAACGAATTTCTCTTCTCTCTTCCGTTCTACATAGACGAGATCCGTGCGAATAAATTAAGGGATGGAAGAGTTTCGATGTGTTGATCGCGATGACGCATCCGTCAATTCGTACATCCGCACACGCGTCGAAACAATTTTCCATTTTCCATTGGAATCGTTTCGAATTTCTCTTGCTTCCGCTTTACGATTATTAAAACTAGATTATCCATGCGGATAAATCAACGAGGAGAGGAGAAGTAAGATTCGAGGCGCGATCGGATCTTGATTATCCTTGAGCGAGGGAGATAGGCGAGACGCGTGCACGGATCGAAAAAGGAGAGACAAAGGAAAAAAAAGAGGGAGAGAAAAAAAGGAAAAAAGTCGCGAATGAATAATTTAACCGCGTCGCGATGGAAACTTTTCGAATGCATTAAGAGCGCGCGCGCGACTTACCCGCTGCTGGGGCGGCACGGTCGGCGAGGGAAAGCGTGGCGCGCGATGGACAACGACCGGGAGAGGACGTCGCGATGAGATAAAAATAGTTGACCCGGTTGAAAATGCACGCTACCGTTTTGAAAGCGCGCGATCGTCCAATTGGTCGGAACCGTCGTCGTCTCGAATCGGAGACCGCATTCGTGCGCGGCGTCATCTGGCTGCTATGAATATTAATAATATCGTAAGAGTCGGCCTCTCTGTGCGATACGCGTTTGATCCTATTCTCCGTCAATTCTCGTATTTTTTAATCCGAACACGCGTGGACCGATTGCGTGGATTCGATCACAATCGTCGTAGAAACGGGATCGTATTTATTACATTTTTGCCTCGACTTTCTTCCTCCCTTGGGGAGGGGGGGAGACGAGAAGAGCGTTCCAATTTTTGCGACACGACTCGTTAGAAATCGTATATATATATATATACGACGAGACGGTTATATTTCTTGTTCAAACGCTAATAGATATTCCTCGTTCGATCGTTCCGAGACAGGATGAATGGAGCGACCCTATTTGGCCCGAGGAACGAGTTCTTTCATTGAAAACCACCTGAACGAATCCACTTCTCTCTCTTTCTCTCTCTCTCTTTCTTTCTCTCATCCGTGACCCTTCTCTCCTCCTGTCGTCGCTTCGATCGAGTACGAGAAACTCGATGCGAGCCAAACAACAAAAATACTACGCGCTGTTCCGTCGCTGTTCATTCAGTTCAGCTTCGTGCGCTGCGTATTCCGCGCGTGTCGATCCCGATCGAAGGTAGAGAAAAGCTTGGAAGGCCGTGTATATCGCGTCCCACGCCGCGGAATGCGAACAAGGCGAATCGTGGATGGTTCCACGGTCGATACTCGGTCGGTACACGGTAGCGGTGTGACCGATCGAACGGATCGATCGAGTTTTCGAAATATAATTAGTAATCGCGATAGGCTCGAAATGATAGAAACGAGAGAAAAAGGGCGACGATCACGACGATGATGATGACGTTCCATGATAATTTTCAGCTACGAAGTGGCGGCTATTGTCCTCCCTGTTGAGATCGATCGGCCGATACACACGGTCGAGGTTCCGCGATAGATTTATCGTGACTGGTATCAAAGAAGCACGGATAAATAAATCTCCAGCCAGTTTATTTATCTCGAGGACTTTCTAAGGAGTGTCGACGGCTTGTGTGTACCGTGGTCTACAAGGCGTGAATACGAGATGATGTCATCCACCCGTTGCACCTTCTCCCTATTAACGGGCCGGCAACTGTGCGTCGGAGAACTTCTGGATGATCTCATTGGTTGGCGCAAATGAACCGTGTCAAAGTGCACCACGCTACTTGATTCGTTTCGTTTCGTTCGATGGACGAATGCTTCGAGCCCCGACGAGGGCATTTTTCCCGTTTTCATTGTTCCCATTATATATCCCGTTAATCGCGATAGATGGCGAAAAAGAAAGAAAGAGAGAAAGGAAAAAAAAGATCTGCTCGTGGAATTCGGGAGTAGATTCATCACTCTCCAAGATTTATGAGATGTTTCGCAAGCGTTGCAACCGTCCCCGATTTAGCCTTTGCCTTTGAGATGGAGAAGCACCGAGCGCGTCATCCGTGTTCCAAGAATCGGAATAATTCGAAAAATTGACATCAGAGGAAAGAGGTTAGGGTATTTCGGAGGGGTGACGTCGACGACGACGACCAGAAACGATCAAAATTGACCATTTCTATCATTTCTTTTGAAACGCGCTGATGTTTCGATAATTCCGTCTCGGAATCGATCGGGAATTAGAAAGGATTCGTTACGAGAGAAAGAGACTACGTATGATCGATGTACGTAAAGTTGTCGCGAGGGAAAAGAGAGACGTCGAATCATAAATTATCTGTGAATCGTAGCCTCGCGAGACTGTGACTAACGCGGACAATCGATCGATCGCCGCGAAGAGCTGTAAACCGTCCTTTTCCGATTCACCTTTTGCGAATTAAAATTCCGCGTACCGAACACTCGTGGCACGCAGAATGAAAGAAAAAAATATGTCCCGACTGGTAGGAAGCGGGTGATGGAAAAAAGCTGTTTGACAAGTACATCCGGCGAGAGGCCACGTACTCCAAGAATCGAGTTTCACGTGACGAAACCGATGCGTTCCTATTATATTACGCGTACTACACGCATATATATCCATCGCATCCTTATTAATTATACGGATCCTGTCGAACGTATCGTTTCGTTGATAAATTAATATATATACAGATTCGAAGAATATTCGAAAGCGAATAACACTTTTGTCGACTACGTGTCACATATATTTCACGTTTTCCATTCCCGTTAGATCGAGTCTAATTTTTTCACGTTCGTGATCACACAAAGTTAAACACGAGCGGCGCAAAATTATTAACGCTGTTACGATCGACAAAGTCGTTCCACCATCGAGAAACGGAAGGAAGCTATTCGAACTTCGGCTTCGCGACGCATTTCACTTTCGCGCGTTTTGGAACCGAGCCAACCTCCACGGTTCGAAAGTACTTTGCTCTTATTTAACGACTTTTTTTTCGCCTCGAAATTCTTCGTTCGAACTCGTTTCTCTGTCGATCGTTATCGCGCAATTAACGTGCGAGAAAGAAACAATCGCCAAAGAGAACTCTGGTAGAGCGATTGCTCCTCGTGCGAGGGAAAAAGAAATGTGTCACGATCACGAACGAATGTTTAAACGTTTCGACTATATATATATATA